TAGCGGCTGTTCCCATTTGGAGCTGCTGGAGGTGTGGTGAGAGCCGCAGGAGAGGTGTAACGTCATGTTTGTGTCCTAGAAGCAAAGGGGAGAAGGCTTTGCTTCTCAGTACTGTTTCATCCCCTTTCAAATCCTCAGAAACCATAGGGTTCTACTGAGTTGGCATGGTCCAGAAAGGCTACGTGATGGAGTAGAGGGAACACACAGCACTGGGTCACCACTGGCCCAGCTCCAACTGCCCTTCCAACATTGACCACTTGTGGTCTGCATGTAGTCCTCTAAAGAAAGTGGTTCTCATGCTTGGGTGTGTATAAGAACCAGCTTGGAGAGTGTGTTAAACATACACACTTAGGGCCCACCAACACCAAATCTGTAGTGTCAGGGCTGGGGCCCAAGAATATGAATGTTGCCTGGTATTGTAACAAACTCTAAGGCTGGTGTGAGGTCATAAATGTAGAGGGTTACCCAAAACCTTGTGTCTCTCCACCCAGGTGTTTTGGAAAAACACGATGGGGAGAAGGGAATCATCCAAGAACTATAGTAAATCAATCTGACCAATCTAAGTGCCACCACAATTACTTATATCACTGCTTCAACACTAAATGTACTTGACACCCCCTTACACCTTCTGAGCTTCAGAAGATATTTTGGAAATGGGCAGCGTTAAGTGCAGGGGTCCTCATCCATTTTTATATGGATCACAAAACGGTTTGAAAGTCCTCTGAGGAGCCAAAGAAAGAATAGATAAGACTTGTGGGAAACCTCCCATTATATTCTAGTTAATGAAAATGATTTATAGTAAAAAATAAAATGCTAGAGGACAGTGTTACTAAACTTATAGCAAACCTCATGTAATTCAACTTATAGTAAACCATCCAGGAGATGGCCAGGTTGGGATGTATCTCAGAAAGAGTCAGCTTTGTGTGATGTGTATGTTAAAAGTGGCTTGTCCTGCTGCTGGCTGATGTCTCCTACATGGGGCCCGAGGCCCACTTAGGACCCACATATACAATAAATATAATTAATGTAAAGAAAATACTTTTAACTAAATTGTACACGCTCTTTTGTATTTTTTATTCTTTTTGTCCTTTGATTTATTTATTTATTTATTTATTTATTTATTTATTTATTTTTTGTCCTTTGTTTTAAATATTTCTAAATTTGATTCTACCAAGGACTTCTCTTTAATAGTTAAAATATTTCCTTTAAGCAATTGTAAACAAATTTTAGAATATAGGGCAAAGAAATCATTCATATTCCTACTATATCTTTTTGCACATTCCAAGTCATTATTATTTGGGAACACATTTTTACATATTTGTTATCAGTATGTTTATACTTTTCTTTTTCTGAGGAATTTTTCCATTGATTTTTAGAGATTGGAAGGGAGGGAGAGAGACAGAAAGGGGGAAACATCGATGTGAGAGAGACACATCAATTGGTTGCCTTCCGCATGCACCCTGACTAGGGCCGGGGATTGAGCCTGCAACTTAGGTATGTGCCACTGGGCAGAAATGAACTCAGGACTGCTCAGTCCATGGGCTGATGCTCTATCCACTGAGCCAAACCATCTAGGGCAGCCATGGGCAAACTACGGCCCGCGGGCCAGATCCGGCCCGTTTGAAATGAATAAAACTAAAAAAAAAAAACCGTACCCTTTTTTTTTTTTTTAATATATTTTATTGATTTTTTACAGAGAGGAAGGGAGAGAGATAGAGAGTTAGAAACATCGATGAGAGAGAAACATCGATCAGCTGCCTCCTGCACATCTCCCACTGGGGATGTGCCGCAACCCAGGTACATGCCCTTGACCGGAATCGAACCCGGGACCTTTCAGTCCGCAGGCCGACGCTCTATCCACTGAGCCAAACCGGTTTCGGCAAGACCGTACCCTTTTATGTAATGATGTTTACTTTGAATTTGTATTAGTTCACAAAAACACTCCATCCATGCTTTTGTTCCGGCCCTCCGGTCCAGTTTAAGAACCCATTGTGGCCCTCGAGTCAAAAAGTTTGCCCACCCCGATCTAGGGCTATGTCTACACTTTTCATCTAATAGTATGTCATGTGCATTTTTATATCTATCTCTACATTATAAAAGCCTAAGAGACCGTTATGTCCGGTCGACCGAATGACTGGTTGACTGGTTGCTATGACGCACACTGACCACCAGGGGGCAACGCTTAATGTAGGAGCTACCCCCTAGCGGTCAGTGTGCTCCCACAGCCAACCTCCTGTGGTCCCTCCCCCTGGCCGGCCGGCCCCAATCGGCCCTGATTTGGATTGGGTGAGATGGCCCCGATCGGCCCCAATTGCTGGCTAGACTGGGGAACCCCACCCATGCATGAATTTGTGCACAGGGACTCTAACCCTAATATGCAAATAGACCGAACGGCTGAACAAGCGAACAAGCGAACAACTGGTTGCTATGATGTGGGCTGACCACCAGGGGGCGCACGCAGAACATGGTGGGCATCAGCTGTGGTGGATGGTGGAGCAGGTGAGCAGGGGCGCCAGACCAAGGTGGGGCGCTGGTTGCTGTCATTGGGGCGAGCCTCTGGTGGTTACTGAAAATTCTTTGCTCCCATGCACCATGGTCCCACCAGGCACTCGCACCTGCTGCTGGTGCCAGAGCCGGCCTCGATTGTTCGGTGCCATCAGCAGGTGTGAGCAGTGGCTTCCAGCCCTGATCTCCCCTGAGGGCTTCTCCACCTCACCCTGCTCCTGAGGGGGCACCTGCTGCCGGTGATGGCCCTGCTCGCACCCACAGCCAGCGCTGGAGCTGCTGCTCGCACCTGCTGCCAGTGCCTGGCACCAGTCCCAATTGCTTGGTGCTGTCAGAAGGTGTGAGCAGTAGCTGTGGGCCCTGATCACCCCTGAGGGCTTCTTTACTTCTCCCTGCTCCTGAGGGGTGATCGAGGAAGCAGCCGCCACTCGAACCACTGACGGCACAGCCCCACTTGCACTTGCTGCTGGTGCTGGCCCTAATTGCTCCACGTCATCAGTGGGTGTAACGGGGTCGGCGCTGTCAGTGCATGGGAGCAGGGCTGCCAGCAGATGGGACTGGGGCCACAGTAGGAGGGGCTGGGCAGGGGCATGGCAGATGGGCTGAGACCTGCCCCTGTGCCACCACAGCCTTGCAGCCCACAGTTCCTTTAAAGGTGCACGAATTCGTGCACCGGGCCCCTAGTTTTTATATAACTTCCAAAGTATATTTTTAAGTAACTGAGTAGGTGGGCTCTACATATTTTTTTCTGTTGCCAGGTAATTTATCTGCCTTCATCTATTTACTAATTTCCTTTTTGATAATGAAATATTTTAAATATACAAAAATTTTAAAGAATGATATAAGAAATTCCCATGTACACACCACCTGGATTTAAATGTTCTAATGTTATTTCTAACAATGATCTCTAGGATGTGAATGATGTAGCATTAGAATGGAAGTCTAGACTTCCAGTTGTGGCTCCAGCTGCAGAAACTGGCTTGTTCAATTTAATCAGCTCTGTTTTTCCTGACATAGGTTCTATGATGGTCGGCAGCCTGTGTTGGCAATCACTGATCTAGAAGTGATCAAAACAGTCCTAGTAAAAGAATGTTATTCTGTCTTCACAAATCGGCGGGTAGGTATCCATTCTTTTAAAAATTAAATTGTTATTTATTTATAAAGTTTCATATTGAAATAATAATAAATTAACAGGAAGTTATAAAAAATGCAGGACTATCCCCTTTTCACTCTGTTTCCTCTAATACTAATCTCTACTAATAAAAGGGTGATATGTTAATTAGACCAGGTCAACCAGACATCTTCCGGTTGTCCTGCCTTCCTTCTGGACAAAACCATGGTGGCAGGGGCCAAGGCAGAGGCAGTTAGGGGCAATCAGTTTGGCAGGGAGGAGCAGTAAGGGGCGATCAGGCCGGCAGGGGGAGCAATTAGGGGCAATCAGGCTGGCAGGGGGGAGCAGTTAGAAGCGATCAGGCCGGCAAGGGAGGGCAGTTAGGGGCAATCATGCCGGCAGGGGAGGGTAGTTAGGGGCAATCAGGCCAGCAGGGGAGGGTAGTTAGTGGCAATAAGGCAGGCAGGCAGAGGGGTTAGGGGCAATCAGGCAGGCAGGCAGGTGGATGGTTAGGAGACAGCAGTCCCAGATTGTGAGAGGGATGTCTGAGGTTGCAGGCTGGGCTGAGGGACCGCCCCTCCCCCCCCGTGCATGAATTTCATGCACTGGGCCTCCAGTCCTATATAATAAAAGCATAATAAGCAAATTGACTGAACAGTGGAATGACCAGTCAGCAAGGGGCGGGGCTGGCGAGCAAGCGGTACCAGCCAGCTAAGGCATGTGCCAGCGGGCAGAAGGAGGGGACAGTGGTGGGGGGGCGGCTTGCCAGCCAGTGCCATCCCCTGATCAGCTTGCCCAGTTGCCTACTGCAGAGGGAGTCCACCAGCAGTGGCAGCAGCAAGGCGATGGGGGACGGGGCCAGCCGCTCACTGGCTGTGCCGTCCCCTGATTGGCCTGCCCAGTTAGACATCTCTTGAGGGCTCCCAGACTGCAAGAGGGCACAGGCTGGCTGAGGGACCACCCTGCATGCACAAATTTTCATGCACTGGGCCTCTAGTATCCCATATAACTATAGTACAATATCAAAGCAGGAAATTGACATCAGTACTATATCTATAGAGGTTATTCTGATTTCATAATTTTTATGTGCACTCATTTGTGCGTTTCTTATAAAATTTATCATGTGTGTAGATTTGTGTAACTACTGCCATAAATGAATATACAGAACTGTTCCATCTCCATGAGGCTCCCTCTTACTATTCTTTTATAGTAATAGTGTGTAGCTTATCTTTTTTTTGATATTCTTTTAAAAAAATCTTTATTGTTGAGATTATTACAGATGTCCCTCTTCCCCCGCCCCCATAGCTCCCCTCCACCCAGTTCCCACCCCACCCCAGGCCCTCGCCACCCAATTGTCAGTATCCATAGGTAATGCATACATGCATATAAGATCTTTGTCTAATCTCTTCTTGCATCCCTCACACCCCTTTCCCTCTGAGAACTATCAGTCTGTTCCATTTCCATGCCCCTGATTCTATTCCATCCACCAGTTTATTCTGTTCATCAGATTTTTTATTCATTTGACTTTTAGATTCAATTTTTGATAGATATGTATTTGTTGTCACTTTGTTGTTCATATTTTTTATCTTTACCTTTTTCTTCTTCTTCCTCTTCTAAAAGAATACCCTTCAGCATTTCATATAATATTGGTTTGGTGGTGGTGAACTCCTTTAGCTTTTTCTTGTCTGTGAAGCTCTTTATCTGACCTTCAATTCTAAATGATAACTTTGCTGGGTAGAGTAATCTTGGTTGTAGGTACTTGCTATTCGTCACTTTGAATATCTCTTGCCACTCCCTTCTAGCCTGCACAGTTTCTGTTGAGCAGTCAGCTGACAGTCATATGGGTATTCTCTTGTAGGTAACTAACTGTTTTTCTCTTGCTGATTTTAAGATTCTCTCTTTGTCTTTTGCTCTTGGCATTTTAATTATGAGGTGTCTTGGTGTGGTCCTCTTTGGATTCCTTTTGTTTGGGGTTCTCTGCACTTCCTGGACTTGTAAGTCTATTTCTTTCACCAGATAGGGGAAGATTTCTGTCATTATTTCTTCAAATAGGTTTTCAATGTCTCGCTCTCTCTCTTCTTCTGGCACCCCCATAATTTGGATGTTGGTACGCTTGAAGTCGTCCCAGAGACTCCTTACACTATCTTCATATTTTTTGGATTCTTTTTTCTTTTTGCTCTTCTGGTTTCTGCTGCCTCTGTGCTGGAACTCAGAGGGAGTTTGAGTTAGTTCCTGCATAGATCCTTTAAGAGAAACTGCCTGGGACTCCAGCAGCCTTCATCCCTCTCAGCCTCAATCCCTGCTGGGTTTTACAGCCAGAAATTATGATGATTTTCTCTCCCCAGCACTGGGACCCTGGGCTTGGGGGCCTGATGTGGTGCTGGGACCCCTCACTCCTTAGGGGGATCTCCACAGCCAAGATATCCCTCTTGGTAGAACAAGTATTTTTAATACCTTGTTAAAGCCATTTGTGATCTCATTTCTTTGGGGTCTGTTACTAGAAGTTTATTGGGTTCCTTTGATGGAGTCATGTTTCCCTGATTCTTTGTGGTTACTGTAGTTCTGCAATGGTGTCTGTGCATTTGAAGAAGCAGTCACTTCTTGCAGACTTAACAAAGTAACTTTAATAAGGAAAGACCTTTACTTATGGGTTGGGGCACACTGGAGGGACCCTTGGTCTAGTGGTGCAGGGTGCTGCCTGGGGGTGTGTAGTGGCTCCAGGTCTCATGGGCAACATTGGCCAGGTAGCAGGGGTTCACAACATAACCAACTATATGATCCTTGACAGCAAGAGCTGTGTTTGTTCCACTGTGGCTGCAAGGGCGGTTGGGGTTTTCAACAGCATCAAGAGGTCCAGTGGTGAGGGACTGGGACAGGCAACAGTGGCAGCCACATTTAGTGGTATGCAAATTCTTGGGGCTAACTGCAGGCACACACGTCCAATGGTGAGATCCAGTTCCAGTGGCAGGGGTTGGGGCCATCTGTGGGCACACAAATAGGTTAGAGTGCCTGGGCTGTCAGTAGCTATAGCAGCTACCTATAAAGACATGCAGGGCAGTGGGAGCTGGTGATGGAATGGAGGGTGAAAGTGTGCAGGTGTGTGGCTGCAGGGATTAGCTGTGGGCATATGTGTCCATGTAGTCCACTAATAGTCAGAGCTGGCTCCAGGCACCTGAGAATCTGCAGGGAACTGGGCTAGTGTTATACACATGCCCAGCCACAGAGGCCAGGGCTGTCTGCTAGCACAGATCCTGCTCAGTGGTGGCACGAATTGGGGTAGCACTGGTGGGGGCGGAGTGTGGTTGGGCAGGATTCAGGCTCCTGGAATTTGTGAGTGTGAAAACCTGTGGGACTGTCAGCAGTAACATTTTCAGGGGTTTCACAGCATCTGTGCCCAGTTGTTTCCTCAGCCTCAAAGGCTACTGGGGTCTTCTGCAGAGCTGGACACAAAAAATTGTGGTCACTCATGCCACATGGCTGATACTGGTAGTTCTTGCCCTTCTTTGTTCTTAACTATCTCTAGACTTCTCATCTATTCCAAATCAGGTAATTTGTACAATGCCCTGAAAGGCTGGGGAAAATGATCACTCACCCTGTTTCTCTTTTCTCAGCAAGGGGAGACCCCCACGCTAAGAACTTCCCTCTTGGCACTGAGCAGCACCAGCCAGGGGGATGAGATGATACAGACAAAATAAGACTGTTTTCCCTATCCACTTTATACAGTTATTCTCAGGGATTTTTTGCTCCATTCTGTTGCTGATTTTCTTGAGGGAACTCCTGAGCCCTCTTAGACCTATTTTTGTGTGTGGGTAGCTGTCTAATTGTTTTTTTTTTTTTGGGGGGGGGGGGGCAATGGAGGCAGGAGTCTCCTACTCCAACAGGTGATGTTACTCCAGGCTTATCTCATTCATGTGATGTTACCTTTAGGTTTTGTAGATGCTCTTTATCAGGTTGAGGAAGTTTCCCTTTTTTCTAGTTGGTGAGTTTTTTTTTTTTTTTTTTTTTTTTTTTTTTTAAATATCATGAATGTGTATTGGGAGATATACATCTTAGAACAAAACGTAGTGTTGGAAAAATGGAAGAAATGAGTCAAGCAGGTTGGCCTGATAGGCCAATCCCAACCTGAGAAATATAATTACATTTTCTTTTTTCTTCTATCACTGGTGAGAAAATGTAAGGGAAAGGGATTTCCATGTTTAAGAATAGCAAATAGATTCCTTATCTTTTAAGTATTAACTACTATTTTATTTAAAAGCTATCATTAAACATCCCCTTTTCAAGTTTCTCAAGCTGTAGATATAAGTAAAGATAGAGCTGGTCTGAGGCAGTAAACAGTTTGTTAAAGCTATCTGTCTATCTGTCAAGAATTCCTTTATATCCTGCCCAGCTCTGAAGGATGTACTAGGTCTTATTCCTATCTATTCTCCTGGAAGAGCAGTTTCCTCAACACGTGGGTCATTTTCCTTGAGAAAGAGATTGTAATATAAAGGCTGGAAACCACATCAGGTGGCTGGATGTCTCCTGCACTTTCATGAGATGCTAGGCATTGGGGATAAGTATTTATTGAGTATCTAGCATAGGGCCTGCTATTAACTAGACAGTCACTAAATATTTGTTGAATAATTGATGCCTATTTAACAACTGTTGAGACCTCCAAAACTTACACAGGGCAAAATGTCCGTTGCTTTTAACTCTAGTCCGTTGGTCCGGTGGGATTTATGAAAAGTGCCATCTCTGTAGCTGAGGATGAAACTTGGAAGAGAATACGAACATTGCTGTCTCCAACCTTCACCAGTGGAAAGCTCAAGGAGGTAAGCGTATAAGAGGATACTTAATTTGAAACTTAAATAATACATCTGGGGACAGGTAGAAAGTAAGATTGTTTCTTTCCAAGGGTAGCCTGCTGAATTTGAGCTTCCTAATAATGGTCTTTTATCTTTATATCCTAGAAGTGACAATATCAGATTCATTATATCACTTACTGCTCCATGCTTGAGAAAGCCAGGTCTTCTAGTACTCGAGTCTTCCCACTTAACTGCGGGTGTTGTTGTGTTTTGTGTTTAGATGTTCCCCATCATTGGCCAGTATGCAGATGTGTTGGTCAGCAACCTGAGGAAGGAAGCGGAGAAAGGCAAGCCCATCACCTTGAAAGAGTAAGTAGGAGGCCAGCTGCTGGGATTCTGAGCTCGTCCTCAAGACACCCCCCCCCCCCCCCCCAGCCGCCTGCCAGAGCCCAATTCCCACTGAATTACTGTAATGACCAGAATTAGGTAAGTGTGTGGTGTTAGAACTCCAATGGGCTACCCAAGAGGATGTGGCTCCTCCAAAAAGCAGGGCAGCCAGGAGAGAAAGATCTTCTCCTGTGTACATGAACCAGGATTAATTTGTCTGCTTAGTTGTCACCTTGGATATTCCTGAAGACAAAAATACATAGTTTAGAAAGTAGAAACATGATTGTACCGAAGTGTAGAGAGTACGAAATAGTAGCAGGGGAAGGCACTGGTACATATTGGTGGGCAGTGGGTGGGGCTGGGAAGTTACAGTGTGGAGCTTGGAACAACTTAAACGCCTTCATGTTCTTGGTGAGGATATCAGCAAAATATGAAATATTAAACCTTCCCACCACTTCTCCTTTCTTTAGTCTCAAATTAAGGAAGGTCCTGTATAAGACTATGGGTAGGGCAAGAATGTCATTTATTATCTAAAGCAAGATACTTTTAACTATGTAGGAACAACAGAGGTAAAGTGGACTGATCTGGGAAACCTGGAGATATATGATCACTTACCTATGGGATTCCCCCAAATTGATTCTGGAGTGATATTTTTATTGTTATTTCTTAAACTAGGAGCATTCTTATTTCTTACATTTTACAGAAATGAATGTGCCCTAAAGGCAACTTGAGACACTGGACTTGAGGACAGTGGGTCTTTCAGGAACTTTAGCAGGAGTGCAGAGAAGGAGCGATGGCATTCCTGGCAACTCAGACCAGGGTGCTGCTGTTCTGTCAGGCGCTGAAGCGGAATCAGCTCTGAGTATAGACACTGGGGTGAGGCAAGACCCTTGTCAATGTCACCTTTCTTGACTCCACTGGGAGGAGTCATTACCTACCCTTGGTCCTGCTCAAGCACAGTATGGCTACTATTGTCCAGACTCAAAACGCACTACTGTAATTTGCCTGATTATGGGTCTCCTTCCCTCTGACTGACCTCCTGTTGCTCACAGGTGGGTCTAACTTGCCTTGTGTCCCCATAACCCAGCACAGGGCCAGCTGTATCACTGGCATCTGATAAACACCTCATGATTGACTGTGGCAGGAGCATAGATTCTTTAGGTGATCCAGCCGATGGTTTTGACAGTTGTGTGGCTCTTTATCTGTCTTTGCCTGGGCATGTGAATTTACGTGTCCTTCCTATTGTATGTATTGGTAAGGATAGTAAAGAGGTGCTGATTTTAATTTTCTATTTCTCTACTCAGCGTGTTTGGGGCCTACAGCATGGATGTGATTACTGGCACATCATTTGGAGTGAACATCGATTCCCTGAACAACCCACAAGATCCCTTTGTGGAAAATATCAAGAAGCTCTTAAAATTTAGTTTCTTCGATCCATACATTCTCTGCATAAGTATGTGGACTACTATTTTTCTTTCTCCTTCATTTCCTACCTCCTTTCCCCACCTTCTCTCTCTCTCTCTCTCTTCCTCCCTCCCTCATTCCCTCTTACCTTCTCATCTCTTTTTTTATAAAAGCTCATTTGAGATATAATTCACATACTATAAAATTCATCCATTTAAAAATATCAATTCCATCATTTTTACCACCTAGTGTCTGTCGACAGGTAAATGGATAAAATATGTGGCATAGATATCCATTTTTTAGAATGAATACTATTCAGCCATAAAAAGGAAGGAAATTCTACCTTTTGCAACAATATCAATGGACCTTGAGGATATTATGCTAAGTGAAATAAGTCAGAGGAAGACAAATACTGTATGATCTTACTTATATATGGAATCTAAAAAAATACCCAAACTCACAGAAAAACAAGAAATGATTTGTGGTTATCAGAGGCAGGATTTGAGGATGGGGGAATTAGATGAAGGTGCTCAAAAGGTACAAAATTTCAGTTATAAGATAAACAAGAGTATAGATTCTTAAAGTTCTCATTACATGGATAGAAAAAATTTTTTAAACTATGTTAGGTGATTTATGTTAATTAAACTTAATATGGTAATTATTTTGTAATATGCATATGTCGTTCAGAGATATATACAGCCATCATTATATTAATCATTAGAACATTTTTGTCAACTTAGATATATGGTACTTTAAAATTTTTTTAACCTTTATTGTGTGTGTGTGGATACATATATATTTTATTGTTGATAGTATTATAGATATCTCCCATTCCACACACCCTTTGTCCCCCTCCTCCCAGCCCCTACCCACTCCCCCTATGGTATTTTTCTCCCCCCCCCGCCGCCCATGGTATTTTTATTAATCTCCACCGGAGCACATGCTTAAAAAGAGGGAGAGAGGGAGGGAGGGGAGGAGAAAAATACCAGGAGGGAGGGAGGGAGGGAGAGAGAGAGAGAGAGAACATTGATGTGAGGAAACATCCATCGGTTGCCTTCTGTATGTGCCCACCCCCAGGATTGAACTTGCGACCCAGGCATGTGCCCTGACTGGGAATTGAACCAGCAACCTTTTTGGTGCACAGGACCCCACTCCACTAATTCTGGCTGAGCTATGGTATTTTTGACTTTAACATCCCACTCCCCTTAGCCAAAAGCAAACTCTAATCTATTTCTGTCTCTATAGATTTGCCTATGCTGGACACTTCATATAAATAGAATCACATATGTGGGCTTTTGTGGTTGGCTTTTTAAAATTTAGTATAATGTTTTCAAGGTTTATCCATGTGGTAGCATATATCAGCACTTTTTATTTTATTATGGCTCAATAATATTCCATTGTATGGACATTGTAATTATGTTTATTCATTCATCAGTTGATGGACATTTGGGTTGTTTCTACTTTTTGGCTATTGTGAATAATTGTGTGTGTGTGATTACCTGATTCAATTTTTTGGTGTTTCTTTTGGTTTTATTTCTATGCAGGGGTGGAATTGCTAAACCCTATAATTAACCCCTGTTTACATGATCAATGAACTGCTAAACTTTATTCTACAATAGTGACACCATTTTACATTCCCATCAGTAATGTATGAAGGTTCCAATTTCTCCACATCCTCACCAACATTTGGTTGACATTTTTCTATCTTTTGTATTATGGCCATTATAGTGGATATGAAGTGGTATCTCATTGTGGTTTTTATTTGCATTTCTCTAATGACTAATGATGTTGAGCAACTTTTGATATTTTTGTTGCATCTTTGTATCTTTTTTAAAAATTGATTTCAGGGAGGAAGGGAGAGGGAGAGATAGAAACATCAATGATGAGAGAATCATTGATCAGTTGCCTCCTGCATGCCCCCTACTGGGGATTGAACCTGCAACCTGGACATGTGCCCTTGCCTGGAATAGAACCCAGGACCCTTCAGTCTGCGGACCAACACTCTATTCACTGAGCCAAACCAGCTAGGGTGGTATCTTCTTAAGATAAATTTTTATTCAAATCCTTTGCCCATTTACATTTGAGATGTTTTTCTTGTTGAGTTTGTAAGAATTCTTTATATATTCTAGGTAAAAATTCCTTATCAGATATATGAATTGAGAATTTTTCTCCCATTCTGTAGGGGTCGTTTCTTTTTCTTGATAGAGTCCTTTGAAGCATAAAATTTTTATTTTGATGATCTACAATTTATGTCTTTTATCTTTTATTGTCTTCTTTTGGTGTCATGTCTAAGATCCATTGCCAAATATGTCATAAATAGTTACCCCTTAATTTTCTTCTAAGAGTATAAAGTTTTAACTTTTATGTTTAGTTTTTTGATCCATTTTTATTTTGTTTTAATATATGGTACTAGAGGCCTGGTGCATGAAATTCGTGCATGGGGTGTGTGTGTGTCCCTCACCCCAGCCTGCACCCTCTCCAATCTGGGTCCCCTCAAGGGATGTGCGATTGCCTGTTTAGGCCCAATCCCACCGCACATCCCTCACACAATCCAGGACTGCTGGCTCCCAACTGCTCTCCTGCCTGCCTGATCACCCCCTAATTACTCCCCTGCCAGCCTGATCGATGCCTAACTGCTCTCCCCTGCTGGCCCGATTGCCCATAACTGTCCTCCCCTGCAGGCCTGGTTGACCCCAACTGCCCTCCCATTCAGGCCTGGTTGCCTCCAACTGCCCTCCCCTGCAGGCCTGGTCCCCCCGCAACTGCCCTCCCCTGCAGGCCTGGTTGCCCCTAACTGCCCTCCCCTGCAGGCCTGGTTCCCTCTAACTGCCCTCCCTTTCAGGCCTGGTCCCTCCCAACTGCCCTCTCCTGCCGGCCTGATTGCCCACAACTGCCTTCCCCTGCTGGCCATCTTGTGGCCACATGGGGGCGGCCATCTTATGTGTTGGAGTGATGGTCAATTTGCATATTACCTCTTTATTAGATAGAATAATGTATGAGTCCAACTTCATTTTTTTTGCATATGCCTACCCAGTTGTCCCAGAACTATTTTTAAAAACCTGTTTTTCTCAAATTAATAAACTTAGAACACTTCTCAAAATTCAGTTGGCCTTAACCTGAATAGACATTTCTCTAGGCTTTCACTATTAAGTATGGTGTTAGCTATGGATTTTTCATAGATTCCCTTTAACACGGTGGTTCTCAACCTTCTGGCCCTTTAAATACAGTTCCTCATGTTGTGACCCAACCATAAAATTATTTTCGTTGCTACTTCATAACTTTAATGTTGCTACTGTTATGAATCGTAATGTAAATATTTGATATGCAGGATGGTCTTAGGCGACCCCTGTGAGAGGGTCGTTCGACCGCCAAAGGGGTCGCGACTCACAGGTTGAGAACCGCTGCTTTAACGGGTGAGGAAATTCCCCTCTATCCTCTATTCTTTTTTTCTTTTTTCTTTTTTTTTTATTTTAGTAAATCTTTATTGTTCAGATTATTACATTTGTTCCTCTTTTTTTCCCCCTATAGCTCCCCTCCACCCAGTTCCCACCCCACCCTCTGCCCTTACCCCTCCACTGTCCTCATCCCTAGGTGCACAATTTTTGTCCAGTGTCTTCCCACATCTCCCACACCCCTTTCCCCCCCAAGAATAGTCAGTCCATTCCCTTTCTATGTCCCTGATTCTATTATAATCACCAGTTCATTCTGTTCATCAGATTATTTATTCACTTGATTCTTATATTCACTTGTTGATAGATGCATATTTGTTGTTCATAATTAGTATCTTTACCTTTTTCTTCTTCTTCCTCTTCTTAAAGGATACCTTTCAGCATTTCATATAATACTGGTTTGGTGGTGATGAACTCCTTTAGCTTTTCCTTATCTGTGAAGCTCTTTATCTGACCTTCAATTCTGAATGATAGCTTTGCTGGATAAAGTAATCTTGGTTGTAGGTTCTTGGCATTCATCACTTTGAATATTTCTTGCCACTCCCTTCTGGCCTGCAAAGTTTCTGTTGAGAAATCAGCTGACAGCCGTATGGGTATTCCCTTGTAGGTAACTGAGTTTCTTTCTCTTGCTGTTTTTAAGATTCTCTCTTTGTCTTTTGCTCTTGGCATTTTAATGATGATGTGTCTTGGTGTGGTCCTCTTTGGATTCCTTTTGTTTGGGGTTCTCTGTGCTTCCTGGACCTGTAAGTCTATTTCTTTCACCAGGTAGGGGAAGTTTTCTGTCATTATTTCAGAAAATTATAATTGCTCCCAGTACATTTCGTATTTTCATTGTGCTTTCTTTTTTCTTACAGCACTCTTTCCATTCCTTGGCCCAGTTTTTGAAGCATTTAATATTACTCTGTTTCCAAGAAGTGTGACTGATTTTTTCAAAAAATCTGTAAAAAGAATGAAAGAAAATCGCCTCCAAGATAAACAAAAGGTAAAATCTGGTGGTGGTTACATGAGTGTGTTCATGCTTTGGTAATTTATTGAGCTGGATACTTATGATTTGTGCACCTCTCTTTTTTTAGGTAGATAGAGAACTCTAGGTTTATAGGAAGAAAGTTCTAACATTTTGTGGGGAATGAAGAAGGTGGAGGTTAGGAAAGGAAATAAAAAATGAGTCAGAGAGACATTGTCTAAAATGTAATATAATAATAGACACAAAGGTCAGTATATCACTGCATGAATATTATTGAGATGAAAAGTTTTCCACTTCCTTTTAATAAATTGTCAAAGTCTAAAAAAATTACTGTTTAAAAATTATTTTCCTGGTATCATACTTCCCCAGATTTTAAATTGGCAAACACTCATAAATTCCAAGCCTTTTATTTTACACATTCTGCAGTGGACGTTCCCAGCAGGCCCCTGGGGGAGGGCTCTATGTTAAACTGAAGCCTGCTCAGGGACAGGAGAGGGCAGTAGTCTTCTCTGGGCATTGAGGTTGCAAGCTGGCTAACCCAGCTTTGCCTTCATGGGCCTGGAGGCCAGCACAAGAATGTCTGCAGGCCATGGGGGAGAGGGCTGGTATTCCAGAATTGAACTGAATGTTGTGGAGAGTTCTGGGATGGTGGAATATTTGAAGCTGCTCCCAGAAAAGCATCTGATGAACTCTGCAAATGTTAGGGGATTCAGTTATGTGGCCTTTCATTAAGAATTAAGGCTAGAGAAAAAAAGTATTGAAGTCAGGGACTTTTTTCTGAGTAACCAGGTATGACAAGAGGGAAGCAGGCAACTCTTTGGCCAGGAAACTGTTCAAAAGTGAGAGAAGCCAAAGAGCAGAGAAAATGAGGACCAAAAAGCCATTGGACATGATGGATGAATTTCTCTCAGGGAAACATTCTGTTCTCCAAGATTTGTAGCTGGATGACTTCACTGATAACAGTATAGTGAATGTAGCCAATAATCTCTATATATAAAAGTCTAAGTGACCAACCGATCGAATGATTGGTCGCTGTGACACACACTGACCACCAGGAGGCAGATGCTAAATGCAGGAGCTGACCTCCTGGTGGTCAGTGTGCTCCCACAGCCAGAGCGCCGCTCAGCTGACCAAACCGTCCCGGAGTCCCACCAGCCCTGTGGCAGCCACTCCCCCCCTCAGTAGTCCTGCAGGTCCAATTTCCAGAGAATGGGCCAGGCACTGATGGACCTGCTGGCACTGACGGTACTGCTGGCATGATCGGAAGTCAGCCTCGGGCACTGTGGCCGCTTTCCCTCCCTAGATGTTCTGCAAGGAAGAAACAATATAAAAGTGGCTGCCAGGTGGCTCCCAACAACTGGCGCGAATGTCAGCAGGATGGATCCAGATCCTGGGCTGGCAAGGGTGTTCCACCGCCTGCCCGGAGGGCCTATTGTGTCCTGGCCCCCTCCACCCCACTCAGGATGGGCGCCAGATGCAGGGCTCATGGCTGGCGAGTACCGCTGTGGCAGCGCGATCCTCTCCCAATTGGGACTGACTGGGTACAAGCCTGTGGCAGGTGCAGCGGGGCTGGGATGAGCAGGAATGGCAGGTGGCATTGGACTGAGGGTTTCAGCCTGATCCCCACAGGCCACCTCGATGGACCCCACCCATGCACGAATTCGTGCACTGGGCCTCTAGTATCTCTATGGTGACAGATGGGTACTGGAAATATTGGGGGGAACACCTTGCAAAGTATATGATTATTTAACCACTATGCTATATGCTTGAAATTAATACAAAATAATATTGAATGTAAACTGTAATAGAAAAATAAAATTAAAAAAAGAAATGAAGTGGCCATTTTAACAGGAAAGAAAGTTATTACTGCACTCCTGATTTATTTCTGGTTTCACAAGTTGACTCTTTGTCATTGAAATTTCTCCTTCTGCTTCCAGCACCGAGTGGATTTTCTTCAGCTGATGATTAACTCTCAGAATTCCAAAGAAACAGACTCCCATAAAGGTAAACAAGGTGTACTTCAGAGGACCAGTGATGGGGAGGCTCAGAGGTAGTGGTGGTTCAGAAAATGTATAGGAAGATTTTCATGCAGACGTGAATTTCTATCAAATTGAAAAAGACACATGCTCAGAATAAAGGTAGCCAGAGGCACTTTCTACACACATGTGGGCACTGCTTTATTCAAAGCTTGAAGGGCATCATAAACAAGAATTTTATGCCCTGAGGTCAGTCAGTGTTCTGTGGATCACCTACATCAGAATCTCTGGGAGCTTGTTTCCAATGTCTATTCTCTGGCCTCATCCAGCTACATGGAAATTTGCATTAAGAATGCATCACTTTAGGAAGCACATTGCCCCAGTATTGGTGATCTTCACTTGGAACCCTTGGTTAAATTGTGTTCACTAGCTTAATCTAGTATAAAGTTTTATTTTTTATTTACTTGTTTGATGGTCAAATTCTCTCAGGTTTGTCCACTGGAGCCCTTTCAGAAGGCTCTGGGGTCCTATTTTCTTTCTTTCTTTTTATTTTTTCAATATACTTTACTTTTTAGAGCAGTTTTATGTTTACAGCAAAATTGTGTGAAAGGAACAGATATTTCCCATAACCTTCTCCCCTCACCTATATTCAGCCTCCCTGACTATCAGAATCCCTAACAGCAGTGTACCATTTGTTACCGTCAGTGAATCTACATTGACACGATTATCATCCAAAGTGCATAGTTTAAATTAGGATTCACACTTGGTGTTGTACGTTCTATGGGTTTTAATCGATATATACTGTATATATAAAACCCTAATATACAAATAGACCAAACGGTGGAACAACTAAACAAGTGGTCGCTATGACGTGCGCTGACCACCAGGGGGTGTGCACAGAACATGGCGGGCATCGGCAGCAGGCGGCAGAGTGGGGAACATGGCGGGCATTGGCTGTGGTGGGATGGTGGAGCAGGTGAGCGGGGGCACCAGACCAAGGCGGGGCGCCAGTCACTGTCATCAGTGCAAGCCTCTGGTGGTTAGTGAAAATTCTTTGCTCCCTTGCACCGCAGTCCTGCTGGGTGCTCGCACCTGCTGCCCGCGCTGGCCCCGCTCACACCCACTGATGGCATGGAGCATTTGGGGCCAGCGCCAGCAGTGGGTGTGAGTGGGGCTGGCACTGTCAGTGGGTGCCAGGAGTGGCTGTGAGGGGTGGCTGCCGGCCCTGATTGCCCCTCAGGGCTTCTCCACCTTCCCCTGCTCCTGAGGGGCGGTCGGGGCCGGCAGCTGCCTCTCACACCCACTGCCGGTGCTGGCCCTGCTCGCACCTGCAGCCGGCACCGGAGTCGCTGCCTGCACCCACTGCTGGCACTCGGTGCTGGTCCGGATCACTCGGCACTGTCAGCAGGTGTGAGCAGCGGCTGTGGGCCCTGATTGCCCTTGAGGACTTCTCCACCTACCCCTGCAATCAAGGCAGCAGCCGCCGCTCGCACCTGCTGACAGCGCCGGCCCCGCTTGCACCTACTGCTGGCACTGGCACCAATTGCTCCACGCCATCAGCGGGTGCGAGTGGGGCTGGTGCCATCAGTGCATGGGAATGGTGGTGGTGGGAGCGGGGCTGCCAGTAGACGAGGGACCGGGGGCCTGGTGGATGGGCCGAGACCCACCCCTGTGCCCACCACATCCTTGCGGCCCACAGTTCCTTTCAAGGTGCACTGGACCCCTAGTAAATTTATAATGACACTAGAGGCCCGGTGCAGAAATTCATGCATGGGTGGGGGCCTTTGGGGTGGCCTGAGGGGATTGGGCTGATACATGCAGTCCAATGCCACTTGCCGCTCCCGCTCATCCCGCTCCCACTCATCCCAGCCCTGCTGTGCCTGCTGTGGGCTTGTGCCCAGTCAGTCCCAATCAGGAGAGGCTCGTGCCACTGCAGCGGTGCTCACCAGCCGTGAGCCCTGCATTTGACACCCATCCTAAGGTGGGTGGGGAGGGCAGGATGCGATTGGACCTCCGGGTGGGTGGTGGATCGCCCATGGCCTAGGATCTAGATCTGTCCCACTGACATGCCCAAGGCTGACTTCCAGGAGGCCAGCAGCACAGCTGGGATCATGCTGGCAGCGCTGGTCCGTCAGTGCCTGGCCTGTTCTCCGAAGATTAGACCTGCAGGACTACTGAGGGAGTGAGTGGCTGCTGCTGGGCTGGTGGGCTCCCACTGTGGGAGCGCACTGACCACCAGGGGGCAGCTCCTGTGTTGAGCGTTTTCCCCCTGGTGGTCAGTGAGCATCATAGCGATCAGTCATTTGGTAATTCAGTCACTTAGGCTTTTATATATATAGATATGTCCACCATTAGAGTAAAGAGAATGTCCTGTATCTTTTTCACCTATCATTTTCTGAGTACTTCCTTGCTTTCTGATGCAAGGCATTCCAAATTTCTCTCTATTTCCCCTGATCAGCCCTGGAGCCAGCCATTTCACCAAGGAATTCTGGTTTATCTTAGTGAGAAATGGTACTTAGAAACCAAAATCTGATCTAGGAGTGCTCATTGCTCCTACGATTTCTTTACTTCTAGATTGTCTCAGTGGATAAAGCTAAGAACATCAAATATATTTACAGAGGTCTCATAAACATAAATATTTTTATATTCACCCATAATTAGTGATGTAAACACATTTTCTCTCAAAAAAGAAACATCCAAGTATTATTGTTTATTCCTATGATATAAATACTTCCATCATAGTTAATTTCAAAATACTAATGGCTTGACAACCATCTCACAAAATTTCTGAATATTTAATAATTGATTCTAAAGAACAGGGATGAGATGACTCCAGCACAGCACTATAAATATATCCATATCTATGTATACAAGTCTTTCTTTCTCCCTATCTATCTAATCTCATACAACCTTCTGTGATGAAAGAGAACATATTCTATATCAATAGAGTTACCACTAGGCACATGTGGCTATTACACGTTTGACATGTAAGCAATGCAACTGAAAACTGAATCTTATATTTAATTTTAATTAATTAAAATGTAAATAAGCACATGTAGCTAGTGGCTACCTATTGGGCAGCACAGCTCTAAATTTTGGATATCATGGGGTATATCCTAACTGGGGGAAGGAATTTGATAGTTGAATCTACCCCCAACAGCATCATAAAAATAATGTTTGAAAAATCAGTCCTCGGTAGACCTTTCTTGTTTTTAGTTGTGAATTACAACTTTGTGGGAATTAGCATGTTTATTTCAGTGCTCTAAGTATCAAAAGGTCCTAATTCATTCCCACACAAATAGATTAGATCTTAACCATGCTTATTCTCTCAGGAGAAAATAAAAAAGGAGGCCACTATTAGTTTGAATAGACTCTTCCTTCCCTTCTCCCTTTCTTCCTCTTCTGGAATGCCCATTATTCTAACATTGCTTTTTCTGCTGGCATAATTCTTTCCTCCATCTCCTTGGCTCCATTTTCTATGCATGCTTCATTTTCAGGATTTCTGATTGGTTCTTCTTAAAACTTTCAATCTCTTTGGTAACCTACTCATTTTGTTCATTCATTTGTTTTCTGAGTGCATTGAATTGCCTGTCTGCATTTTCTTGCATTTTGTTGAGTATTTACAGAACTGCAATCATGAAATCTCTGTCATTTACATCACATATTTCCATGTGTTCCAACTTGCTTTTTGGGGATTTTTCATTTTCTCTCAATCATCCTTGTTTCCGTAGTTATTCATGGTATTTGTTGTTCTCCTTTGCCTATACATTTATATCTGTTGATATTAATGGCTTATAACAGCTTCCTCTGAAGAGGGCTTTCTACTATTTTCCAGTAGATAGCACTGAATCACAAGATTTTTTACCTCTGTGATCCAGATTTGACCTCCAGGGCTTTTATAAAACAGTACAGCCTTGCTGCTTGGAGGTGGGGTTTGTTTTCCCTCACTGTAATGGTGACCCCTGACCTCCATGGGGTTCCCTCCAAGCATCCAACCTGGGGATCAGTCACAGAGGGAAATGGTGGTTCTACAGCAACAACTCTTGGTTTATAGATAATATGCTCCTTGGCTATACTCCAAAGGCAACAGGATGCGAGTTTTGGGAGTCTGAGCATTGGCAGGACTCTGTGCTTCCATTTCTTTCTCTGAAACACCACCATCTGGCCCAGCAGTGGAGAGCCACAGCTCTCCATTCCTCCTGGTTGAAGGAAGCTCCTGCTACTGCCGTCTTCGATATTCTGCATTTCTAATAAACTCCCAGATACTGCTGATGCTTCTGGTCCATAGACAATACTTTGAGTAGAAGAGTTTATCTGTAGCCAATTACTGTTCTTTTAAGTTCCTGGAAACATGTTTAGAAGAAAGATCCTTTAATTTTTCTTTACATAAACTTCAGTATTGTAAACCATCTCAAAATTTTTAGGAATAATTTAAAATTTTCCTGGGGGAGAATGCTATCCCATATTACTTATAGTTAAACTACTTTTAAGATTCTCCAGTAACATACTGTGGAATGACACAGCTGAGATAGTGATGAGAGTGATGTATTCAGGGGCAGGTGACCAAGAATAGTGTAGACCCCTGGTCGGCAAACTGTGGCTCGAGAGCCACATGCGGCTCTTTGGCCCCTTGAGTGTGGCTCTTCCACAAAATACCACGTGCGGGTACGCGTACAGTGCGATTGAAACTTTGTGGCCCATGCGCAGAAGTCGGTTTTCGGAGAAGTACTGTTGATATTTGGCTCTGTTGACTAATGAGTTTGCCAACCACTGTTGTAGACCTTTGGAAAAACTGGATTAAGACTTTTTTTTGCCTTTTTCTGGATCTGCAGTATACACATCAGAGTACAACTCCCTCTAGTTTGATCTGAATTTCCATTTTTTTCTTCTAGCAGTTTGGCATTTCATATGGATTTTTCATAATCCAAACTGATGATTTACATTGACCTTTCTTTTCCTTTTAGCTATGACCGATCTGGAGCTTGTTGCCCAATCTATTATCTTTATTTTTGCTGGCTATGAAACCACTAGCACTTCCCTTTCCTTCTTTATGTATCTTATGGCCATTCACCCTGATGTGCAGCAGAAACTGCAAGAGGAGATTGAGGTAACATTTCCCAATAAGGTAAGTGGATGATACCTGCAGAGGTAGGGAGAAAGTGAAGCCTTAACAAGAATGCCTCCTCACCATTTCGTAGGATAATTTTTGCAAAGAGCATAAGCATCAGTTGTTTATCTATGCTATTTAGGAAGGATGTAAAGTGATGAAAACAAAGAAATATAGGTAATGTGTACTTTTCACAGATTATAAGATCTTGGACAAAGTGCTTTTCCTGGCATAGCAGTTATCTGTTATCACAATAATGTCAAATGGAAAAAAAGACCCTCATTGGCAATTAACAATAAACATTGATTGCTCAAGTGTCTGGATAATTATCTGTGTTGATATTGACTGGACTTGCTTTAATCTGGCTCTTGGCTGATGTAGGCTGGCCTTGGCTAAGAGGCTGGGTGAATCAGCTCCACACAGGATCCACACATCTCCCATACTCCAGACAAGAAGCCTGGGTATGTTCTTCTGAGGCAATGGCAGAGGGAAAGACCAATAAGCCCAATCATATGCGTGCCTTTCAGAACTCTGCTTGCATCACACTTAGCCAACATTCCATTGATTTAAAGCATGCACTCTGGCCAACCCCAGCATCAAAATAGGATGGCACAAAGTTAGATGACTAAGGGCACGGACACACACAATGGTGGAGAACAGGCCCAAATAGTGTTATATACCACCCTGGGCAAACATTCCAGACTAGAAGAAGCCTGACATACAGGAAAGAGCGTAGGGTAGGGAATAGAAGATAGACATCTGAGTCCAGACTATGGTATTGGACAGGTCATATGATCTTTCTGAGTCATAGGTCTTTCAGATATAAGGAAAAGATTTTAGAACCTATGTAATTAGAGATTATCTTTCTTCTCATGGAAAACTCACATTGGCATTCTTTTGATAGCAATAAGATGGAAAGGTCACTAAGAGACTAGCTAAATCATTGTGTTCTGCTTTTTTTTTTTGTAATAATTAAAACACTATAACTAAACATTTGCTCCTTACTATATATGTCTATTCTAAATACCTTGTATTTATAAATGAATTTAATCTTAACAAATTCTGTATTAACCAGGATAGGTTAGGTTATGTGTTGGTAACAGATTGGTCCTGAAATCTAAATGGCTTTGCATAGCAAAAGTTTACTTCTCATATTTATATATAGAACATGGATTGTTAGAGGAGGGTAGGAATGGGAGTCTCTGCTCCACATAGGTACTCAGAAATATAAGCTAAAAAGGCCCCACTTTCTCTTTTTCTAAAAAATATTTTTATTGATCTCAGGTGGAAGGGAGAGGGAGAGAGAGAGAGAAACATCAATGATGAGAGAGAATCATTGATTGGCTGCCTCCTGCATGTCCCCTACTGGGAATCAAGCCCGCAACCTGGGCATGTGCCCTTGATCGGAATTGAACCCAGGATCTTTCAGTCCGCAGGCTGATGCTCTATCCACTGAGCCAAACCAGCTAGGGCAAGGCCCCACTTTCTTGTAGCTGCACTTTCTGGAACACAAGGCCTTCATCTTGGTTGGGGAATAAAGAAGTAGAGTGTTGCTCACTGGATTTTCAAGTGTTTTGACTTCCAATGAACATACATCACCTCAGCTCACAGCCCATTCTCAAAGCTGGTTTCCCCTAGCTTTAAGTGGGCTGGGAGATGTGGAGACCACATGGATATTGGGTGAGCAGTGATATCTCTGCCAAACAACTCCATGAAGTGTCAACTCTAAATATCTCCATGTAACATATCAGAAAACTGAGGTACTGAGAGGTGAAATAATTTTCATACACTAGTCATATAGCTAGTGGTGAAGAAGCCACTAGCCAAACCCTGAACCTCTACAGTATTGCCTCTTCAATATAACACCAAGTGATACCCACATATTGCCCACACTGTTTTCAGATATCTGACAAAACTGGAACTCTTTGTAGTAGGAAGAGACTGGCCTTTGGGGCTGGAGAGGCTTGTATGAGATCTTCACAGCTTACAGTCAAACCCTGAACAACTAGGAGACTGTTCCAGCAAGGCAGCATGAGGCTGAGTGGGGTTCCACCTCTTTATAGCTTCTGCTAGAATGAAATTGTGTGCCTGGTAGCTAGCATCCCATCATACTCTTCATGTACCCAATTTGGTTTAGAAAGAAACCCGTTTCTCGTCAAGTTATTTATAACTTCTACATTATATAGTTTTTCTCTCCAAATCCTATATATAATCTAAAGGGTTGGCCCTAGCTGGTTTTGCTCAGTGGATAGAGTGTCAGCCTGTAGACTGAAGGGTCCTGGGTTCAATTCCAGTCAAGGGCACATGCCCGGGTTGTGGGCTCGATCCCCAGTAGGGGTGTGCAGGAGGCAGCCAATCAATGATTCTCTCTCATCATTGATGTTTCTATCTCTCTCTCCCTCTCCCTTCCTTTTTGAAATCAATAAAAAATATATGTATATAAAAATATAGGATTTTTCAACTAAAAAACTTTATGTCAAGTTGAGATTTTGCTTTTTTACTCATTCTCTTTCCTTGCTGCAGAAGTGTGGCCTCTCTTTTGAAAACAAAGTGACCTTAGCATATTTCATTTAAGAGTAGGGGCCATAGTCTATTAGTCACATGAGATTAAAAAAAATCACTGTATGGTAAGGTGAGGGACTTCCGGTCCTGTTTAGGGTATTGTCCCCAACGTCTCCCATAGTTATAACTACTCCACGTATCTCAATGGGCCATTAAGCAGGTCAAAGGATATGATAGATATTAAAATGTCTGTAAATCCTAAGGTCCCTTACTCAAATAAGTTATTCTTTGGAGCGCCTAACATTTCTATAAAACGACATAGACTGAGTTGAAAGTTGATCTCAAATCTCAGTTTATCAAAATCTGTTTCTTTCTTCCCAGGCAACTCCCACGTATGATGCCCTGGCACAGATGGAGTATCTTGACATGGTGATGAATGAAAACCTCAGATTATACCCAATTGCTGGTAGACTTGAGCGGGTCTGTAAGAAGGATGTGGAAATCAATGGGGTGTTCATTCCCAAAGGGACAGTGGTGATGGTGCCAAGTTTTATTCTTCACCGAGACTCTACGTACTGGCCAGACCCTGAGGAGTTCCGTCCTGAAAGGTACTGAACCCCTGGGAAAGGGAACCCACCCTCATCCAACTGGTTGGACATGTTCTGATGTCTTTTAGTATAGATGATGAACGTGTATTGTACAATCATTTGTATGCATACCTACTTATTTTTAGAAGTTTTTCTTATTACAAGAGTGATTATTATTTTACAATCTCTAGATTAGATAAAAGAAAGTTGTATTTGTCTATAGTCCAAATACCTTAATATAGGTCTCATTAATAATGTGATGTATGTCATTATTGGCATTTTTTTGCATATATAGATTTCTAAAAATTAGAATAATTATATTTTATACTACTTTATTTAACAGTAAACCATAAACTACATCCTATGTATAAAACACCACCTTATATAGGTATATATTAATCTGTCTGTGATTGTATACATATGCCATAATTTACTTAATCACTAATGATTTTAGAAATATAGGCTTTATTTCTTTACGTTTTTCATTGTTGTTCTCTTTAATCTGTGAATTTACCACCAATGTTCCCACATTCTATTTTTTAAAAACATTGGCTGCTGTTCCTTTAGCATAATTGGGAGAGTGCAGGCTGACAACCTGAAAGGTCCTCACTCCTGATGGTTTAAGCAGTCCCTTAAGGGTAGAGGTGAACACAGGTTCCCTGGTCTGTCTTTGGTTGCAGTCCTGGGCCAGCTTCTTCCTACTCTCAGTATTTGGTGACTTCCAAAGGGAAGTCATCTGCTCTCTAGATAGTCTAAGACCCTCCTCTTTAGGGGTCGTGAGCATGTTCTGGAAATTCAGAGCCAAGTCTGGCTTTGGGCACAGCTTGGACTCTGGAAAGAGCTGATGCTTTCCATTTAGTGTATTGGTGAGCAAAATTGGAAAGAACTATTGAGGGCACTACCTTGGATCTAGACTTTTATTAACACAACTATACGATCCCTAATGGCATGGACCTTGTCTCATTTGCCATGGTGTCCTTATTCTAGCATAGTGTCTACACACAGTACTTTTGAAGAAAGTTAATTGACCAAGTCCTCTGTTTTGTGGAACAGGGGGCCCCTGTGGTTTCTCCAAGCTCAGCAGTTTCCCTCCTTGTAGCTTCATGAACATGAAATCGGAGACCTTTTCTGTACTTCATTTTTAATTCTATTTATTGGGGTAACACTGATTAATATTATAATAATTTCAGTTGTACAACTTTATAATACAACCTCTGTAGACTTTATTATGTGATTACTATCAAAGTCTAGACTTCTCCAGTCAGCATGTATTTGATCTCCTGTACCCTCTTCATCTTCCTCATACCTTTCTTCCCTGCTGGTAACCACCATTCTGTTGTGTGTATCTATGATTTCATTTTTTGTTTATTTGTTGCTTTTTGTTTTATATCCCACGTATGACTGAAATCATGTGGTTCATATCCTTTTCTGTTTAATTTATTTCACTTAACATAATACATTCAAGATCCATCCATGTTGTTACAATTGGCAATAATTCATCTTTTTATGGCTGAGTATTATTCCATTGTATATATGTACCATATCTTCTTTATCCAATTATCTGTTGTAGAACACTTGTTTTGTTTTCATGTCTTGACTATTATAAATAATATGTTAATGAATACAGGGGTATGTGTATCTTTTTTTTTTAAAATATATTTTATTGATTTTTTACAGAGAAGAAGGGAGAGAGATAGAGAGTCAGAAACATCGATGAGAGAGAAACATCGATCAGCTGCCTCCTGCACATCTCCCACTGGAGATGTGCCCGCAACCCAGGTACATGCCCTTGACCGGAATCGAACCCGGGACCCTTCAGTCCGCAGGCCGACGCTCTATCCACTGAGCCAAACCGGTTTTGGCGGTATGTGTATCTTTATGAATAAGTGTGTTCAAATGACAAAAATTTCACGTATATATCCAGAAGAGAGATTGCTGGGTCTTATGGTAACTCTTTTCTTAATTTTTTTGTGGAACCTCCATACTGTTTTCCATAGTGGCTACACCAGTTTATATTTGCACCAGCAGTGTGTGAGAGCTTGCTTTTTCCACATCCTCTACAATATTTATTTCTTGTCCTAACAAGAGAGCTGGTATCTCATTGTAATTTTTATTTGCATGTCCCTTATAGTTAGTGGTGGTAAGCATTTTTTCACATATCTGTTAGTCATCTTGTACTTTGCTTCATTCAGTCATCAAAGAGTAAGTGCTGACCATGTGTCAGAAAGTGAGCAAGGCTGTAAAAAATCCATGTTTTAAAAAATATACAAAAGTATATGTGTATTTAACATATAGAGAAACATTTCCTATATACAAGTCTATAAAATACTTATAATGCATCTCTATGTGTTCATCACCTGCCTTACAGCAATCAACTTATGTCCACTGCCCCATCCATATGCCATCGATACTACCCTCCTAATTTCCACATTATCTTAAGGCATAGCATCTGTAAATATTTTCAATGTTCCCCAAAATATAAGAACCCTTAAAAAATATATAACCACAATGCCATGATCACTTTTCCAAAATACATATTTTTCCTTAAAATAATAAAACATTGACGAGTCAAATTTGAATAAAGCATAGATCTACCCTTCAGAGAATTTATAGCCTAGTGCAGTGGTTGGCAAACCGTGGCTCGCAAGCCACATGCGGCTCACGAGCCACATGCGGCTCTTTGGCCCCTTGAGTGTGGCTCTTCCACAAAATACCACATGCGGGCGCTCACGTACAGTGCAAAGTTGACTTAAAACTTTAAGTAAAGTGCCCTGACCGGTTTGGCTCAGTGGATAGAGCGCCGGCCTGCGGACTCAAGGGTCCCAGGTTCGATTCTGGTCAAGGGCATGTACCTTGGTTGCTTGCACATACCCAGTGGGGAGTGTACAGGAGGCAGCTGATCGATGTTTCTCTCTCATCGATGTTTCTAACCCTCTATCCTTCTCCCTTCCTCTCTGTAAAAAAATCAATAAAATATATTAAAAAAAAACTTTAAGTAAAGTTTATTAAGTTAATTTTAGGGAACGTTGTGGAGTGAAAGAAGATGTAGTGTCGAGGATTGAGAAAGGTATGTTGAGATGGTTTGGCATATAGAGAGGATGAACGAAAGGAGATAGACGAAACAAGTATACAAGATGAGTGTGGATGGGAGAGTTGGAAGGGGTCGACCTCAGCGAACGTACCTCAATCAGATTGAGGACGTTTTTAGCAAAGGCCAGCTTAGGAGTACCCTAATTAAGTTAATAACAATGTACCTACTTATATAGTTTAAGTTTAAAAAATTTGGCTCTCAAAAGAAATTTCAATCGTTGTACTGTTGATATTTGGCTCTGTTGACTAATGAGTTTGCTGACCACTGGCCTTGTGAAACAGATACATAAGGAAACCAGTGATCATGCGAGAGTAGAGGAGCATCATATGCCACTGTAAGTCATCTGATTTAAGCTATTCAATGAGGGAGAGAGAGGGACAGAAGGGGAGTGGTCAGAGGAGGGGAGGGGAAAGAAGGGAAGGTAAGGAAAAGATAACTAATAGGAAGTATTATTCCTGCTTCCTTCCTCCATGAGCATGTGACAAGCATGAGTTTGATGGAGGGAGAAACCTTCTTTTACTTCATTTCCTTCTTGCCTTTAGAGTGTGAGAACATTTCAACATCCTGAATGTAATTTAGTGTTTAAAAATAAATTTTATTTTAAACAGCATTCATCTTTTTTCTTCAATGAAACTGAAAGCTCCTAAAGAGTAAGGGGAGTGGAAATGATCTCTAGCTTATATTTCTCACAGCAAAATAACCAGAGCAGGATCTCACTGACTAGCCCACTGGAGTATCCTATATACTAGAACCCCAAACATGTAGTTCTTGTGGTGTTTATGTTTTATTAATTGTTTTAATCTACTGTTGTGGAACCAGGTTCAGTAAGAAGAACCAGGACAGTATAAATCCTTACACATACATGCCCTTTGGAAGTGGACCCAGAAACTGCATCGGAATGAGGTTTGCTATCATGAACATGAAACTTGCTATCGTCAGAGTTCTGCAGAACTTCTCCTTCAAACCTTGCAAAGAAACACAGGTCAGATACTTAACATGTTACCACTCTGCCAAAATAATGCTTTATTGGGAAATTTGTAAAAACTGATGTGTGTGTGTGTATGTGTATACATACATACATACACACACACTATATGCATGTGTATGTATGAATGTGCTCCCTTATCCTATGTAATAAAAGAGTGATATGCAAATTGACTATCACTCCAACACACAAGATGGCCACCCCCATGTGGTCAAAGATGGCTGCCCCCATGTGGAACCAAGATGGGCGCCACAAGATGGCTGGCAGGGGAGGGCAGTTGTGGGCGATCAGGCCAGCAGGGGAGAGCAGTTGGGAGGGACCAGGCCTGAAGGGGAGGGCAGTTGGGGGCAACCAGGCCTGCAGGGCAGGACAGTTAGGGGCAACCAGGCCTGCAGGGGAGAGCAGTTAGGGGTGACCAGGCTGGCAAGGGAGGGCAGTTAGGGGTGACTGGGCCAGCAGGGGAGGGCAGTTGGGGGTGATCAGGCCTGCAGGGGAGGACAGTTAGGGATGACCAGGCTGGCAGGGGAGGGCAGTTAGGGGCAATCGGGCTGGCAGGGGAGTGGTTAGGGGGTGATCAGGCTGGCAGGCAGAAGCATTAGGGCAATCAGGCAGGCAGGCAAGTGAGTGGTTGGGAGCCAGCGGTCCTGGATTGTGAGAGGGATGTCCCAGATTGGAGAGGGTGCAGGCTGGGCTGAGGAACACACACACACACACACACACACACACACCCCTGTGCACGAATTTTGTGCACCGGGCCTCTAGTTGTTTAATAATTTATTCTCTAAGCTAGAGGTTCTATTTGGAATCATCTGTGACCTTTAAGATCCCGTTAGTCTGGAGTGCTAAGCCTGTGTTTTTATAAATATCCAACTATAAAGGCCATCTAGAGTCAATGTAGTTAGTGTGACATGATGATGTAGAGTCCTTTGAGAAAAGTTTAAGTTTAGTTTCAAGTCCACTGGAAGGGAAGTGCTGTGCACAGTCCTGAAGTATAGTGATAACTGAATCATGACTTTCAAACACTGTTCTTTTCCACTAGAACTAACAGAAGTTCTTATGTTAGTTGTGGTTCTCAACCATTGGCTGTACAACAAAATAAGTGGAGAGTTATGAAAAATCTTGATGCCTAAGTTATCTCAGATACTAAAATAATTTATCTTTTGTGGCTTTAAAAGCTCCCCCTTTGACTCTCATGTGCAGTCAAGGTTGAGAATCACTGATGAAAGCATTTCTGCCTGATTTCCAGGGCCATCATGGCTTCTTGACCTCTCCTTTTGGGAGCCCTGTTGTGATCAAACTAGGCTCCTTTTACATCTAATAAGAACTCTATGATGGCCCTAACTGGTTTGGCTCAGTGGATAGAGCGTTGGCCTGCAGACTCAGGGGTCCCAGGTTCGATTCCGATCAGGGGCATGTACCTTGGTTGCGGGCACATCCCCAGTTGGGGGTGTGCAGGAGGCAGCTGATCGATGTTTCTCTCTCATCGATGTTTCTGGCTCTCTATCTCTCTCCCTTCCTCTCTCTAAAAAATCAATAAAATATATTAAAAAAAAAACAACCCTCCAGAAGTCTTCCCCATCTAGTCCAGAGCCCATTTTCTTCTGCCATGTTATTGCTACTGCAGGCTGGTATCTTTACTTGTACCACTTAACCTAATACTTTTTCATTAAACTATCCAGTTTGGTTCTTTATATATGTAAGAATGTCTTTAATTCTAGCACCTCATTTTATTCTTTCCATAAATTCCCAAAGGTGCCTTGTAGTCATGCAGGAAATGTTTACAGAGTGATTTGCAGTTGATTTGGAGCTCTTGTATACAAATTTTAATCAATTTAATTTGAAACAATTTAACAATGTGCATTACATATATATGCCTTGAAGTGAAATTACAAAATAGGAAGGTTTTACATTAATAGGTAGATATGGAATCTCTTCTCTGAAGAACATGCAGAATAGTTGCCATTGATTCATATCAAGCAAGGCTCTATAATAAGGCTTATTTCTAGGACTCGTGCAGAAATTATTATGCAGCTCCTTTCCTTAAGTCAGCTTTTTCAGGGAAGAGGAGGATAGAGATAGTTTTCAACGTATTTGTGGATTTAGGCAGCTGTGTAAGGAGTCCTGTAAGTATATACACATGAGGGACGCAGCCCTGAGAGGAAATGGGTCTCTGACACACCTGGGGTGGGGAAGACACTCCCTGAAAACTTCCAGTCTTCTATTGCTGGTGCTTCTCACTCTCCATGACAATTTTCTTGCCCTTCAGTGAACTGAGATCAGAAGGTTACTGTGTTGGAGGCTCCCCCAATACTGAAGAAGTGACTGGGTGAAAATTGAGCTAAAAAATTAATCAAAGGAATGTATAGGTTTTCAGAAGTTCACTATTTACACTACACTTGGGATCTAGGAGGTGTTAGAAAACAGGCACAATGCTTCACAAAGACCTTCTTCCATCATCAAACTGGAAGGTTTCCACTGGTAGAGGTGGCTGGGCTTTAGAAGTTGAGGCTGGTCCATACAATTAAAACATGTAAAATGTACTCAGGATTAATTTGCAAGTTTCAACATACATGAAATGAACTCTACCTGGCTTTTCCAAATATTTTCCCATAATGCCTAAGAATCTGGTTTAAATTTTTAAAACACATCCTTTTTATTTAAAATTTAAAACAGCCCTAACTGGTTTGGCTCAGTGGATAGAGTGTCGGCCTGCGGACTCAAGGGTCCCAGGTTCGATTCTGGTCAAGGGCATGTACCTTGGTTGTGGGCACATCCCCAGTGGGGGGTGTGCAGTAAACAAAACCAAGCAAACATACTTTTGTCTTTGGCCTGGTATAGATTAGGTGCTATATAAAGGGTGTCCCAAAATTCATGCAAGATTTGAATTTTGTGTGAGCATTAACAACAACAACAACAACAAAAAATAAAAACCTAATTTTACTTGGTTTATTGTATCAGATTATAATATCTGTTGCCCTTTGATTTCAATCCCTTCAATTTGATAAGCGTTACCAAGTACCAGTTATGGCCCAGGAGCAGGGACAATGAAGACCAATGAAGACCACGGCTTTGTGTATGTGCCAGCAAAGCCGTGGAGGCCATTTACCCGATGTGCTATTCCATACATAAAGCTATACTGTATACTTTATGAATCAATAAAAAATTTACAATTTTTAATTATAAACCCGTGTTTTCTATCAAAATTACTTCTTGCATGAATTTTGGGACACCCTTTATATATTTTTTCTTGAATGAATGTTTTCACGAATGCTTTTTTTTTTTTTTTTTTTTGTTAAATTTTTTTTTTAATATATTTTTTATTGATTAAGATATTACATATGTGTCCTTGTCCCCACGTTACCCTCAACCCCCCGCCCCCCCCGCTCATGCCCTCACCCCCCCGTTGTCCATGTCCATTGATTAGGCCTATATGCTTGCATGTAAGTCCTTTGGTTGATCTTTCCCCTTACGCCCACCCTCCCCTACCTTCCCTCCAAGTCCCGACAGTCCAATCAATGCCTCTCCGTCTCTGGATCAGTCCTTGTTCATCAGCTTATGTTGTTCATTATATTCCACAAATGAGTGAGATCATGTGGTATTTATCCGCTCTCCAGTTCCATCCATGCTGTGGCAAATGGTAAGAGTTCCTTTTTCTTCTTCCTCTTCTTAAAGAATACCTTTCAGCATTTCATATAATGCTGGTTTGGTGGTGATGAACTCCTTTAGCTTTTTCTTATCCGTGAAGCTCTTTATCTGACCTTCTATTCTGAATGATAGCTTTGCTGGATAAAGTAATCTTGGTTGCAGGTTCTTGCTATTCATCACTTTGAATATTTCTTGCCACTCTCTTCTGGCCTGCATGGTTTCTGTTGAGAAATCAGCTGACAGTCGTATGGGTACTCCCTTGTAGGTAACTGACTGTCTTTCTCTTGCTGCTTTTAAGATTCTCTCTTTATCTTTTGCTCTTGGCATTTTAATTATGATGTGTCTTGGTGTGGTCCTCTTTGGATTCCTTTTGTTTGGGGTTCTCTGCACTTCCTGGACTTGTAAGTCCATTTCTTTCACCAGGTAGGGGAAGTTTTCTGTCATTATTTCTTCAAAAAGGTTTTCAATATCTTGCCCTCTCTCTCCTTCTGGTACCCCTATAATTCTGATGTTGGTACGCTTGAAGCTGTCCCAGAGGTTCCTTACACTATCTTCATATTTTTGGAATCTCTTTTCTTTTTTCTTTTTCGGTTGGGTATTTTTTGTTTCTTTGTATTTCAAATCTTTGACTTGATTCTTGGGATCCTCTTGTCTGCTGCTGGATCTCTGTAAATTATTCTTTATTTCAGTCAGTGTATGCTTAATTTCTAGTTGGTCCTTTTTCATGTCCTCCATGGTCTCACTATACTTATTGAGGGATTCATTAAATTTATCGGCGGTTTCCATAAAATTCTTGAAAAACCTTATAAACGTGGCCTTGAACTCTATATCCAATCGTTTGCTTTCCTCCATTTCTGCCATTTGTGACCTGTTTCTTTGTCTCTGCATTTTGGCAGCTTCCCTGTGTTGATAGAGTGGCCCTGCGCGCCAGGTGTCCTGTAGGGCCCAGTAGCTCAGCCTCCCCAGTTACCTGGGGTGGACACTCTTGGTGCACTCTTGGTGCCTTGGTTGTTGTAGAATCACTGGGAGGAATTGACCTCCAGGCCAATTGGCTGAGAGAATCAGCTGTGTCTAAAGTGGGAGAACTTCTGTGCTGAAGACACCCTTCTGGGGCAAGACTTGCTTCAGTGGGGCTTTGGTGCTCACTGAGTCTGCTCCCTGAGTGTGTCCCTTATGGATCTGAGGAGTTGCAGTCTGGATGGTCCCCCTCTGACTACTGGGTACAGTGGCTCCTGGATCTAAGGAGGTGCTAATTCAGCCTCTGCCTGAGGCCACACAGCAGGAGCCACGAAGAGGCTCAGCTGTGAAGCAATGCAAGCCGCTGCGGGGCCTTGGGCCTTCTCTTGGAAGTTCCGGGTCTGCCTGGCTAGGCTGCAGTTAGGTACATTCACATGCAAAAGCCTCTGCCGCAGCCTGGGTGGGGCGGGGTCTCAGGGAATCAAAGGGCGGAGAAAGCAGCTATGGCTGATTCTCCACCCGGAGTCGCGGGTCTCAGTGACCCGCTAATTGCTGCAAGCACCTCTGAGGGAAAGCCGCCTTCAAGTTCGCCCGCTGCCGAACAGACCAGCTTCTCCCCGTATGAGTCCTGGGTCCCCAGAGACTTCCCGGAACCGGAGTTCAGAGCAGTCGGGAGCTTGTGATTCAAAAAGACAGCCGCGTCCTCAGGTGCCACCCCCTTTCCTCGCGCGCGAGCCGCCGTACCTCTGCACTTCACCTCCGCAGCGCCTCTGGCTCTCAGCATGCTTTTCTTTCCTTCTAGTTGTAGAATTTACACTCAGCCAGCCTTTCTGTTGTTCTGGATGATGTTTGCTCAGTCCTTTGCGGTAATTTTCAATTGTTGTGTGAGGCGACAATTTCCTGGTGTTTACCTATGCTGCCATCTTAGTTTCCTCCTTCACGAATGCTTTAACTGACCAGGATGAGACAGCTTACTAAATAAGTATAAAGAAGTAAAGAATATTATGCTAAAAGTAATTTTTATATGTTTGTAAAGCTTTATTGTGCTTAATGTATCTCATCTACTTGCTTCTGTTGTCAACAGTGTTTAATGAAATGGTTCTCATATGCTGTTAACATTTGCAGATCCCTCTGAAAATAGAGTCTCAAGGACTTACTCAGCCACAAAAACCCATTGTTCTAATGGCGGAGTTGAGAGATGGGACTATAAATGGAGCCTGACATTCCTTAAGGACTTACACATTGTTCTTCAATGAAGTTGTATTCCTTGACCCCAGAGATCTCTATGTACTTTGTGAATAAAACCCAAAAATGAAGATGAACTAAACCTATTGCACTTGATGAATGACTAGCAATTCTGTACATTCATTTAGCTTTCTCAGTGTCTATACAGAGTATTATATATTGCATAATATAAGGGATGTGACTAAAAGCACCAAATATGTAGACCCAGTTTATTGGGTTCTTATAATACTGGCTCCATCCATTCCCACTTGGTACTGTCTGCTGTTCCTTAACACTAATCAAGAATACAAATTTCTCTATAATTTTATCAATAAACATTAATGAAAACAAGAATTATTTTGGTAATGGCAGTAGAGACATTAATATCACACTTTATTTTGAATATTCTGTATTGTATGTTATATTGAGCAATTCAATAAACATATTTTCACAATAGATTATCTAATACTTTCATGCACAGGAGGAGGAATCTATAGAACCAAATTAGTGGGAGCCAGCTACTAAATGTTTTAACTATCACGAACCCTGCTTGGAAGGGACCTTTTTTGAAACTCCAATTTGATATATTAAGATACGTGAGTGGAGAGGGATGGCACAAAGTTTGGCTACATAAAGGAAGATTGATCAAATAAGTAAATGTATTATGGATAATGAAAGCCAGGCTGCGTGGCAAGCATGGCTCAGTGGTTGAGCGCTGACCTATGAACCAGGAGGTTCACGGTTCCATTGCCAATCAGGGCACATGCCCAGGTTGTGGGCTTGATCCCTGGTGTGGGGCGTGCAGGAGGCAGCCGATGAATGATTCTCTCTCATCACTGATGTTTCTATCTCTCTCTCTTTCTCCCTTCCTCTCTGAAATCAATAAAATTAAAAAATAAAGAAAATCAGGCTTCTCACTATCAGAGAAGGATTGTCACTGATTTTGAAAGAGAGAAAACCGGAATGAGCCCTGTGGACATAGAGATTGGAAGGGAATGTATTGGGAAAATTCATGCTTTTCTATACAGATAGATGATAGCTAGGTAGATAGATGTTTGTGTATGTACATGACTGTCTATACACACATATAAAGGGGTAGGGTCCCAGCAGCTGTCCTGATGGGAGGGCGAAGATGACCGCTGCCAGTAGTATGTGATGATGGAGATGGAAGGCTCTTTCTGAATTCGTTAACCAGATCTGTCACTTACAAGTGGGGTGACCCAGTTATTTAATCTTGATGAACCTCAGAATCCTCATCTGTGAAGCAGGGATAATAATAGCACCTACCTCAGGGATGGAGAACGTCTGGCCCACAGGCACTATAAGGCCTGCAAAATCATTTGGTCTGGGTCTGCCAAGGCATTAGGGGAGAGCTACTTAAATATTTGACCAAGTATAGCAGGCTATTTTTTATTTATTTATGGGCTTTCTATTCTCTTCCATTTATTTTGATTTTTTAAAATTCTTTATTGTTGAAAGTTTTACATATGTCTCTTTTTTCCTGCATTGACCTCTCCCTGCCTGCTCTTGCTTCCCAACACATGCCCCTACCCCACTATTGTCTGTGTCCATTGGTCCTGTTCATATGCATGGATTCAAGTCCTGTGGTTGATCTCTTACCCACCCCACCCTCCCCTGCCTTCCCTCTGAGGTTTGACAGTCTATTCAATGCTTCTATGTGCACACTGCACATATCTTATTTTGAAGTAAAAAAACAAAACGGGAACAAATACAATATTTGTATTTGCATGTGGCCCGTGGGCCGTAGTTTGAGGACCTCTGTTCTAGGTCTTAATGTCTTCTGGTTTTGTTGAATTGACTTTAGGTTAAGTGCCAAAAGCAGGCACTGGGCTTACAGCCCGCTGTGTGAGGTTTCAATGGTCCCTTGGCCCTGGCCACATTTGCTGAAAGCTTGACCTTCCCTTTTTCAGTGACTTGCAAATGGTTTACATAATTGTGCATATGACTTTCCTGTTATGACATAAGAAACTGGTACTAATGATTAATTAAACTGGACTATTTACAGAGTGATATTACCTCTGCACTCTCCATCTTATGTCGTGGGCTGGCATGGCCATGGCATACTCAGCCCCACATTGGGTGCCTTATGTGCCGCGCCAGCTCAGCCAGGTTTGGTGAGCCCATGTGGGGGCAGTGAAGGATTGAGAAAAGAGACAAGAGAATGAAAGCTGGGTCTCGGCAGGATGCTGCCCTCTCTGATGGAGAGAGACAGTGCCACGGACTACAAGCCGTATCTTTTATTTTATAGCCAGATTCCACAAGGCAAAGTAAGGGTGTTGTCAAGATGTTTACAACATTCTCGTGGGTTTCGATCCTACTCAATTACATGCACCTGAACTCTATCAAGCCCACATCACTCAGACATGTGGGGCCACATGTTTGGACCGTAGGTTCAAGCTTACAACTATAGCTGTTGGCTATAATTGTTCTGGGAAGGCTCTGCCCTCCAAGCTGGGTCTTGCACGTGTCCATGAGAGGACTGTGCCCTCTCATTAGTCCAAGGCTTGAACCTGTCCAAACACTGTAGCCGCTATCCACAATCTTATTAAATTTGAGGGTGCTTGTACAAAGCGGAGATGATTTCTTCATTCAGATACTCATTCAAAACCTCCATGCCAGGTATAGAACTCTCAGGCTCTAGGAGTATAGCAGTGAATAAATCATGGTTTCTACCCAAGATGATTTCATAATTTAATTGTAGAGATAGAAACATAATTATTGTACAATCATTGAGCCCCCAGACACCCTTTTTCTGGCCTACGGGGAAAGGAGACTAGATCTGTATTAGTCTGCTAGGGCTGCTGTAGCAAAGTACAATAGACTGGTGGCTTAAATAGCAGAAATTAATTTTCTCACAGTTATGGAGGCTGGAAGTCCAAGATCAAAGTGTCAGCAGGGTTGGTTCCTACTGAGGCCTCTCTCCTTGGCTGCCAGATGGCCATGTTCTCCCTGTATCTTCACATGGTCTTCCCTCTGTACCTGTCTGTGTCTGAATCTCCTTTTCTCATAAGGATACCAGTCATATTAAATTGGGACTCACCCATATGCTCTCATTTAAAGTTAATTAGCACTTTAGAAGCCCGGTCTCCAACTACACAGGAACGTTTTGAAGTGCTGGAGGTTAGGATTTCCACATATGGATTTTGGGGGTGGGGGACACAATGCAGCCTATAACAGGATCTGAGGGGAGCCTCTGGGCCTGCACATGGATGTTACAGGAGGGCTAAGAGGAATCCTCATACACAGAGCAGTGAATATGCTCTCTCATTAAGGTTGGGTGGAGGGTGGGGCTGGGCCCACGATGCCAGTTAGAAGGCTCCAGGTTAGCAAGGGAAACTCTCAGGCCTCATAGAACCATGAATGCAACAGTAGACCCTTGAAGACCCTCTGCAGAGCGAGGACAGGAAAATATATTGCCTGCAAGACTTTTGCAGTGGGTCAGGGTCTCAGGGAGTCATCAGGTGGAGCCAGTAGAGTTCATCTGGCTAAAGCAGATTAAGATTTACTGTGTACAAAGAAGGCTCTGCACAAGAACGCTGGTTCCTGTTGGGTGCATGGGGTGATGGTCTGAGGCCCACTTTTCCATTCCCACAGTTCATATCCCCAAATATCCCAATTTCATTCTGAGAGGAGCAGGGAAAGAGGGAGTTAGCAAGGCCAAACTTAGAGAAGTTTATTACCCAAATGAAACCAAGAAGTTGTTTTATGGAAGCAAAATTTCTTCCACCCCAGTTTTACCCCAGTTAGGGACTCATGGGGATGAAGATCTCATTTATGAAAAGTTAAAAAGCTACATATTCTTTGAGCATCTGTGTGCATTCAAAAGTGCTATGTCTCTTATTTCTACAGTTGGTACCATAACAACTGATGAACAAAGATGAAATAAGGGTAGAAGATTCAAGATGGCAGCTGAGGTGAAAAGTTACACTAACCTCTTCCCATGACCACATCAAAATTACAACCAACTTATAGAACAATAAACTGGATAACCATCTGGGGACTAGCTGAAAGATACAAAGAATCCATGCCTAGACCAGTTGGAAGGCAGAGATGCCAGAAATGGGCTGGCCTCACACCCACCTGCAGCAGTTGAGAATCTGGAGGGATATCTCAGCTGCAGAGGTCCCTCATGAGGAGCAAGAGGCCCCCACTAGATGCCAGACTCCCCACCCCCTAGGACCAGTGCTAGAAAAGGGAGCCTACCAAACATCTAGCTGTGAAAATCAGTGGGGATTCGGTCCAACTGGGTGAGACGGTAGGTCGCAGAAAACTTAGGCATCTTCTTAAAGGGTTACACACAAAATCTCGCTCGAAGGTGCTCACCTTGGGCTCCGGCAGAGCGATGGCAGCTACAGAGAGTGTCTGGGGTCATACAGGAAGATTCTGAGTTGTGTGGCTTTAGGGTGAGGGACATTTTCCCATGCACCCAACAGGAGCCAGCGTTCTTGTGCAGAGCCTTCTCTACACACAATCAAATCTTAATCTGCTTTAGCCGGATGAACTCTACTGGCTCCACCTGATGACTCCTTGAGACCCTTCCCCACCGCAAAAGTCCACAGGCCCCATGAAGGTGGTGACTCTCCTTGGTGTGTACCCTGAGACTTTCGCTAAGTAGCCTCAGACCCAGGACTGGTGCTGAGTTCAATCCATATAAACCTGTTGAACACCACTCCGCCCTATCTGGTGACTCACTGAGATCCTGCCTCATACAACTGACATACCACCCGAGGCGCTTTCTGTGGCTGAGCCCAATGGGCAGCCAGCAGGTTATGGTGGGTCTCGGAAAGACTTGGGCCTCTTACTGACTTGTCCCTGGCCTGGTCTTTATGGCAGCCAGCTTTGGAATGTAGCACGGCCCCTCCCACATTCACCTCAGTGCAGCATAGGCAACTACCAACCATGGGGTGTTTTGCAGCTCCTAACAGGAAGCCAGGGCTGATCACAGGCAGTCTGACATTAACCAGCACCAGAGTCCATTCAAAAAAATTTCAGAAACAATACACTTGGTGGCTGATTTAAGACCACAACAGAGCTTGACCTGATTAGCTCCAAAAGTAATAAACCCAAAGGGAGGTCT